TAACAGTATTATAGGTACATCCTGGCGCTGCAGCACCCTTAGAAATGAACATGACTATTCTGCAAACAAGAGTACCCCTGGCAGGCTTGTGCTTTTCAAGTAACGAAACCATAACCATGTCAGTATTTTGCGCACATGAGTACTACGGAAACCTCAATAGGCTTCCTAGAATAACACTCCAGAAGATCCTTACCCTTGACGAAACACTGCTCTTCAATTAACAGTATTATACAGGGAACACGGCTATTAACCTAATAATACTCCATGAACATCAACACTTCTAAAGCAATAATACACAAGGAATAAAGGTACCCTTTCACACATGGGTATACTATTCCTGTTTCGTAATGCTACAACATCGGTATGGTTGTGACATTTACATTTCACATATGTGAGCATCCTCATAGATAGTTCCCAGGAAGTAGTATGCTCATAACGATTCCAAATAGGGAAATAAAAAAATACGTCAATCATGATATTCGGGAAGAATCCTAATAAACAACAACCACGTACAATACAACATATCAACAGGGATGTAGTAACAAGGGCACTTTAACAAGGAGGCAGCTGAAGAATCCGTTCATAATGATGCTACAGGAAGAGACATTTTCACAATAATCGAGACAAAAGAATATCTTCAAAATGCTACCATGAAAGAACTTCCTGAAGATACCAGGAAAAGGAAGCATCTTCATAAAGAAGATAAAAAGCAAGACGGCCTCTGAACCCTGCCGCAGAAGAGGAGCATCTTCATAGGGAAAATCACACACGAAAGCACGCCTTAACAGTAGCACAAAAAGCAAGAATCATCCTAGAGAAAATAACACACACAAACACATCTTCATGATGCCAAAGGAAGAAAGAAATAATAAAGTAAGTCGGAGGGAAACAAACACCACCTGGAGAAGCAGAGTGGGGAATGAGGCTTGTAAGGGGCTGCTTAAAGTCCAAACTGTAAATCCGGAGCGAACAGCATTAGAAGGTTAACCGTAAAGAATAGACTTTAGAGGCTGAGAACACAACCAGAGACAGAAAGGATAAGCCTTTAACCATAAGGCTTGCACAATAAATCATACAACACAAAAACTCGACGTTGAAAACCAATTAATACAGCACATATCGAAACCATAAGAAGTAAAAAAGAAGCAATACAAGATGACGCCCCAAATTAATAACTGTAAAAACTGAACAGGATGCCTAACGCAAAAATCTTCTGGGAGATACCCTGAAGAATAATAGGACCAAATACACCAGAACACCTCGCAGCATGAACCATAACACATAGGCCTGCGCAGTGCACAGTCCAAAAAGAGTATAGACCGTAAACCTAGGACAGGCAAGAACGACTCTACACTTCATCAAACACAGATAGACACTAAGGGTATCCGATCAGACCTACACAGTAAAACTGAATCTGCAACCATGGAATCTGAGCCGTACACCGTCAAGATATGGCAGAGGATCCTAAGCATAAGGAGATAAGAAATAAAAACAAGCAGCAGAACTAAGGAGGCATATGTAAACAATTAAGCGTAGGAATAAACACTAGAGGCGGCCAGTACACGTTAAGCCACAGGCCTCACTGATAAACCGTGGAAGCTGAACCATGAAATATACAGCCTAGGGCCCTAAACATACAACCCAAAGACTACACCGTAAATCCTAGACACCTAAGGATGATCACAGTACAAGGGGCGTATAATCAATGAATCTTACCCGCCTAAAATAACTTATCGGACAATACTAATAGACACTAAGAGGTAAAAACAACCCCCCGGCAATACACGAGGACCTGGAGGCGTAAACATAGAGGATAAAGCCTGACAAATAAACTCAAGAGTCGAACCCGGGGCATAAGAAATAGAGCATTAATGCTAAATATTAAAGAATACAGAGTGAACAATAGAAATTGAGACAACACCGAACCTCCATAAGCCGACAGAACAATGCCTGAGTAAAACCCAAATGAGATAGGTGCATACACTCTGCAACCTAACTGCGTAAAATTGAAGCGTAAAAACCAAGGAGTACAGGTAAAGTATATAAACAGAAATGTACTGTTTAACAGAACTCCATAGAATTGCAGCCCTCAAAATTACAGGAACCTAAGCCAGAGAAGAGAGTAACAAAGGGAGACAAGGCTTAAGCAATAATGGGAGCAACCTAGAGCCTCAAACAGGAGGCCGACAGCACAGCTTAGGCAGTACGAGATAGAATCCATATAATAAGGAAAATGGGCAGAAAGTGAGAATCTACATCTGCGATATAGATTTCCAGTCTCTACGCCTAAGCATTTCATGTGCCCAACAGTGCCTGTAGGATGGAATTTACTTTAGCATCACTGAGCCATAGGCCATACCTGAGGCCCCATAGAGGTTAAAGCCCAGGAATTAACACAGGAAGAACAAGGCTCAGACTCCGACGCCTAAATCCAAAATCGAAAACTTAATCATTCTGGGCTAAGAGTTACAGCCTAAAGAATGCAACCTAAGAAGTTAACAATACCTGCAGGGGCAATAACCAGGAGGTATGAAAACCGAAGCATAAGCAGTCCAGTCCTAAGGAAAAGAATCTGAGCTTAACGCCATAGTGTTGCACCATAAACATGAAGCCTAAATGTGCACCTTAGGCGTCGGACCTGGACGCGAACCCCTAAGAGATTGAGTCGTAATAGAAAAAGGGAGTCTCGAAATAATAGGCCTTAGACCCAACAGCATGGACAACAGGAGAAGAGAAATTATAAGTTGCACCTAACAGGTAGAGAAGGAGAAAGGAACCCTCAACAGCTAACAATAAAGAATACAGAATAATGCAGGTGCAACCGGAAATAACAACAGAGTCGGGGGCCTAAAGCTAGGGATACCCGCTAAAACCTAAACCTAAACTCAGGAGCTATAAAAAGAACCCATATAGACTACAAGGAACGAACCCCCCTAAACCTCAGTCCCCCAACCTATAAAATACAGATGCTTCTTTAAAACCAGGAAACCACAGCCCTGAACCCTGAACTTCCATGCTTGGGAACAAAATCTAAATCGACCAAACAGATTCCTCGCCATTAAGTCATACCATATGAAATCGAGTGCTAAGGGACGACGCCACCAAATTACACCCAACCGATGAAACGGGGAAAGGAACTTGAATCATCAGCATGAAATCAGCCAAGAGAATGTCGTCCGTAGAAGCCAAGTTACAAAAGGATGCATAATAAAATGCACTACCTACCCCTCCAAGTATGAACCCAGACAACTGCCGTTAAAAAAAGAGTACTGGAACCCAAATCAGGGGGCATAAGTTCCAGGCCTGCTACCCGTATTACCAGTAAATGAAGCACCTTTATAGTACCCCTATGTGGAAACATAGGCAACTAACAACTAGGACCTGTAGTAGTAAGACATGAGGAGTACGCAATGACAGCCTTTGCCTAAACCTTGACGGGTAACCCCTAAATATTAAATCGCAAACAGTATCCCTTCGAACACTACAGCCTACAACCAAGAACTATAACATCCGCTAATCCCAAAAGGGAAAACAGAAGCTTGCCGGCTAGGCGCAAGCCCCAAAAAGTAAACCTTAAAGGATAAATCCAAAACAGTAACCCCGATAGCCTAATAGCATACAACAACAGCTATCACCGAAACCTAAGCCAAACCAACTAAGACTTAAATTTAAGAGTATCCAAGCAATACAACAGATATATCACGTAAGTCGTAGAATCTCAGTCACATCACAGAAACTCGCAAGACGCCGCCAAAAACCTCCCCCCCCCCCGACTACCTGAGAGGTAAAGCGTGAGTCATTCTCTCCAGAAGTGCCAGGAGGTCAATAAAGAAACAAAAAAACTTTAAGCCCCAAGCAGAGTGCCGGAACGGGGAAAAAAGGAGGTTAGAGCCGGAACTAAAGGATAAAGCCGAAATACAACAAGTACTGAGGCAGTGACACTAAAGCTCAACGCCCAAATATGATGAGTAAACACCACGCCCTGAATCCTATGAATTAGCCCCTCCATCAGACGGCACTAGACTATAAGTAAACCGCCAAGCGTCGACTCCGTGAGCACAGAATTCTAGCTCCAAATCCCTGACTCCTGAACCCTGAAGCATGAACCCTAAATGATTAAACCCTGAACCGTAAAGCCTAAACCGAAAAGCTAAGCTTAAACCATACGGCATGAAGCATAAGAGCTAAACCTTAAATGCTAAAATCTAAAACTAAGACACTAGGGTCGAAACCCAGGGAACTGAAACCGAAACGCTACCAACAGACCCTAAAGCTGAATCCTAAACCCTAGACACGAACTCGTGGACTCTAAATGCCTGGAATCTAAACTCTAAATCCTAAAGAGTAACGAATGGAATCTAAAACCCAAACACTAAACCCTGGCCCCTGTACCATAAACACTAGACTCTGAAGCCTAAAGGCTAAACACGAAAGACTGAACCCTAAAACCTAAACCCTAAATGATAAAATGTGAACCATCAATCGTGACCGTAAAACCTAGAACAGTAAACTCTGAAACCTAAAGCCTAAATCATAAATCGTAAACCCTGAGACCCGGAAACATTAAGTCTATGCCCAACACCCTAAAAGAAGAACGCTGAAGCCAGAACAGTAGACACTAAATGATGAAACCTAAACCTAAGGCCTAAACCCTAAACACTAAACCATGAAGCCAGGACCCAAAAAACTAGACCATAGAGCCGGAAACGTGAACTCTAAACCTAAACCCTGAAACCTGAAGTATGAAGACTAACCCCTGAGCCCTAAGATCTAAGCACTAAGCCGTGGACCCTACAGCGTAGACCCTAGATCCTAAAACATGAAGCCTAGACCCTAGACTCTAAAACATCCACTAAACCCTGAAATCCTAAACATAAACCCTGAAACATCAACCATCAAACCATGACTCCTGAACCCAATACTACCACTGTCACCCCTAAACCCCCCCAATGGCCGGTGTTGGTTTCTTCTTCAGTTATCGCGGTATTCCCTGGTCTTCGCTATCTATAGGGAACATGGCGACTAACCCACTTTGCCCTCCGCGAACCCTTTCCTGCACTCGCCTTTACGGAAGATATCCTATAATATCCATAAATGCTCCCCAATAAACCCAAAACCCCAAGGATCCCTCCCCCTAGGCCCTTCGCTACCCCCGAGAACAGATTCGCCTCTGCGGCTCCCTTCTTGCCGGAGTTAAAATCGTTTCCAGGATGCTCCCCTAGTCTGCTCTCCTGATCCAACAAAGACGAAAACGCTTCCCTCGTGTTGGCATGAGCTTTGCCCTCCGGCTTTGTTGTCGCGGAGCTGGCAGGTTTCAGACTGGGGCTTTGAGCCCCTAACTTCTCCAGCTCTATTCCCATCTGGATTGCTATCTTCTTATAATCCTCCACCTCTAAAGTAGTCAAGTGCCCATCGTGCTCCCCATCATCGGTTCCCCTTAACTTCAAGGTATACGTCTGAGTTTTCTTCTGAGACAGGTCCCCGGTGCTGTTGTCCAAAACACACGCAAAGACCTTATCCCCCTTTCCCTTCCCATACACTACCTCGCTCAAAATTTCATACAGATCGAACCCCTGAAAGTAATCTGATACGCCCTCCTTCTTGCCCCCTCCCATATGCATGAACCAATCCCTCATCACGCACGCTGCTACTTCTTCACCTCCCCATTCTCGTAAACTCCGATATAATTCTTGGCAGGGATTTCGGCTTGTCAGCTTGTCCCTTTCCCTATTATCGGTACTAGTAATATCAAATGATAAGAGTATCTGCATTACTAATTCTCGACAAATACTCAAACTACGATCTTCAGAAGCCCCCCGATTATAGTCTCTCTTCCTCCCTTTTCCTTCCCAAGTAGATGATTCTCTCCTGGAGCCGCACGGCTCTGAGACTTTTATTCCCCCTTCCTGGACTGTTATTCGATCCACTCCACATCCTTCCTTTACTGAATCTATCTCTTGCGATTCCGAAATCTGCAATCTGTTCCACCACTCTTCTAGTCTCATACAAATAATCAGGGTATATGCCCAGAGCCAATGAGCCCCTTTAGATTTTGGATAATTCTTCTCGAGTCCTCCCCACTTCTCGATTTTGCCGCTTCCGCCTCGTCTCAAGTCTCTCAGTCTCATTCCAATATTTGACCCACCTGCGTCTGACAAACCGGATTGCCCACAGGACCCGCTCTCTGCTAATGATAGTATATATTTTTCGAACGAGACGCTCAGCTTCCTCTTTGCATTCTCCATTTGGCGCCTCCGGGTCCGTAAAATCAAAGAAAAATCTGTTCACTTATGTAAGTATTTACTTCTCTATTGCTTCGGTCATAGATTTGGCCTCTGACCTCGCGTTTCCTCTTATCTATTACTGCAGGACCTGAGCTTAACCCCTCTGGTTCTACCATGAGAAGACCAGTGTATATTCAATCTCCCCTACTGAATCTATCTCTCCTCCTTACTGCTTGGTTCCTTCCTCTCCTGTATCTCGTAAACCCAGGATTCCGAAAGACTTTCATTATACTGGACGCTCGCCTGCCTTCAGCAATCATATACTTAATTTGGTTATTCTGGTTCCACTCGTCTCCCCTAGAGAGAGAATATATCTCACCTGGCCGTATCTCAATTATTGCCGATTTTACCTGATCTTCTGCCTGTCGGCGGTATTCCTGCGTATACATTCCTGGGTATCTATTCGTGTCCCTCTTCGTCTTAATACTTAATACGACTTCTCCTCCATATATAGACCATTCCTCTCAGGGAGCCGGCCTGCCGCCCAAGATTTGACAAAAATTTTCATCCAATACTGGTCATCCTCATCCTCGACCTCCGGGGCTGCTGCCACTTCCTTGACTTCTATTGCTGACTTGGCCTAACGACTCGGAAAAATTATTGATTATATTCCAAGAATCCTCGGAAGGGTCTTAGATTTCTCTGTTTAATACTGCGTCGGACTCCTCTCCTGTTTCAGATATAGGATATCTGAGCTCCTCCTTCTTGATTCGGTTCCGCCTTATCGGTCATGTTCTCTCAGGTCTATCTTAATGGGATCATCCGAGGTAATCCATACTTATGCTTGACTTGCTCTTGCTGAGTCCTTTGCCTTGGACTGATTCTAATTCTTCCCTCACTTGATTACTGGCCTCAGCGAGATCATTATATGTCGCCTGTCAGGCTCTTCCTTGGCCATGTGCTCTGGTGTCGTCAATTATTGACCAGTCTTATTATTTGATCTTCTACTTACTTAATTGCCACTGGCCCTTCTATTCAAAAGAAATTAGTTCTGCCTCAGTGAGAATTTCTAAGTCTCTCCTCCTTTATGCTCTCCACTTTCACGTCACTCTGGAATTATTCTGATTAACTGTTTGGATAGGAAGGAATGAGCCTGGGGTACTTTGGTTGGGGTTTTCCCAATCCAGAGAGCGATCTTGTATTGGTAGGATTATACTTAACAGAAGTGTCTTATGAATTTGCTCCTAACTTCATTCCCGCTCGTGTAGACATGCTTAAACTCTAATGAACGCTTGCTTGACTACGGCGGAGAAATACGCCTGTTTTATTCCACATTGTTGCTAGATCCCCCTAGTCAAATTTGTGACCTGATCATATTTTTTCCTGGGGTGTTCCCCCCCTTCATATTAGAAAGACGTGATCGTCCACTGTAACCCTCTGTTTTCTGCTTTATGCTCAGGGCAGACTCCTCCATTCATTGGACGTGGGGATCCATTAAGGACTCCTGCTTTCTCCTCAAGGAGCTGTTCACTGGTCCTGGGGGTAACTGAGACTATTTGGGACACATCCTTTAAACAGGGGGGCCTTCGGATTATTCCACTTGATCCTCTTCCTCCACCCTCGTAGTGAGTTGCCGGGTATAAGTTCGGTTGTTGCGTTCATATCTCTACGGATGTTAGAGCTTGGCGATGATGGGTGTGACTCAGAGACTCTCATCTAGATATTTGTCTTCTGTCCTGATCTCTCTTTCTGCTGTGAGAAATTTGTATGTGTCTTTCTTCATTTCAATCTATTCCTTAAAATCCTGCTGAGAATGAATTGAGGACACTAATCTCTTCCTAATAGGATTACCTCACAGCCCTCTTGTTATTCGACGCTGATTCATCGTATTGAGGATCCTTCACAGCTCAGAGAATCAAATTTTCTATTATGAATTTGAATCTCTGCTGAGATTCCTCATGGCTCGATTGTCTGTTATTTTTATCCTCTGATGTTTTTCGCGTTGGAATCTGCCTCGGGGATCATATCTATGGTTAAGCATTTATAATTCTGGGCGGAGGATACGCTCGTTTATATCTTATTCTGAGCCTCTATATTACTCAGAGGTGTTCCGAAGTCTTCTTCCACTTGGGTTTTAATCACTTGATAAATGACTGTCTAGGAACTCCTGTCAGCTTGCCGGAATGAGCAGGTTGCCTCGGGACGGTCTCCGAGTCACTCAAACTTGAGCTTTCTCCGGTTTCTGGTCCTGGACTCTTCCGTGTTTTGGTCTTTCACTTCATTCTTCTGGAGTCCTCAGCTAGGAAGAATATTGAAGAGTACTCTTCTTGCCCTATTTTATTTGATCTGCTAATGCGTGGTCTTGACTTCTTCGGACTTCGGTTTCCTCAAGATGATCCTTTGGAGGTTTTCTTCTATGAGGTTTTGACTTTATCTGCTGATTCTTTCGAAGTCGGCTGCTGAGAATTCTCTCATGAAGCTGATTGGACCATCTTGTGACCTGAAAATTACTCTATGCGGCTTACTTTAATGTAGGGGAGATTCTTTCTTTATAATACTCTATCATAGATTTGCCTGAAGTTTTCCTCAACATCATCCTGCTTTGCTTGTAATTCTTCCATTTCCCATATATTGTAATGCTTTGGCACTTCCTTTCATTATTATCCTCCTCAAACTAGATCTGTGTCCTATACGCTTTTCATATTTATTTGGAATTTAATTCTGCCGATTCCTATATATTCTTTTTCTGTCTCTTCTGAATGTGCTTATCGCCCATGTCCTTTTAATAGATCTTGGGCGGAATTCAGCTGGTATTTGCTCGCTTTCTCTTGTTGCCGTCCCTGTGTTTCATCTTTGTCTTATAGGATGGACTGGTAGTATTGACTATCTATTCAATGTTCCTTGAGGCCCTGTTTGAGTCTGTCCGTGAAGATCACTAAGAGAGATTTTTGCCGTGGGGAAGGAATTGTCACAGATTTGTTCGAAGGATCTATCCTAGACTTGCATCTCCTGAATCTTCCTCAGCTATTCGCTGGCTCTATTTACGGAATTGTGCTATTATTTGACATCCTAATTCTTCTTTTCCTGCTTCTGGATCTGTTTGACTCCGGGCCCTCAAATGACGACTAATATTTTTTGGTGTTGGTTTCCGATGTGAAGGTCCGTAGTAGCTGTTCCTTATAGCGATGATTTGTCTAGGGGGAGGGGATTGGGGTGTTCCCAGGCTCTAGTAGTTTCCTTGCTCGGGAGTTCTTGCTCCTTTGTTTATGTATTAAAGATGGGACTATGAGATCTCTAGGAAGTTTTTCCGCCTGTGCTGCAGTGGATAGAGGGTTGAGCTGGTAGATTTTTTCAGAATGATTCGGGGATTTGGGGGCGTGTTCGACGTCCGAGTTGCCTAGATGAGTATTTTGCCTAAAGGAAGTTGGGTAGGACAGACTACGAGACCTTTATGTGTGTTTACTTCTCCTGAGATTGTTCTTAGATATTTTCAGTTTTGTAGTGATACGGGTCCCTGCTCAATATAGAAGGATTTGGGGGTAGGCTATTAGACTCGTAAGCTGATTTCTAAGACCTTAAGGAGGCTGGGAAGTTCTCTGCTGGATTTATGCGTCGCCTAAGGTTTCCAATATTAATCATCTCCTGGACATAATCTGTAATGAACTCTTCCTTCTTCTCTCTGATTTCCTAATTGATTCTTCTCTTTGCTTGTTCCTTGTCCATCATTAAGGTTGCTGATTAGGCCTGTCTTATTTCGGAACTTCTGAGTTGCTCTCCTCCCTTAGTCCTGAGTGTGGAGTTGGATTACGTGGACTCCTGGGGGCCTGACTTCCTCGAGACGGGAGTTCCCTTTTGTCTCCCTTCCCTTATTTTACTCATAGTTTTTGAGGAGGCAGTTTCTTCCTATTCCCCCAGTATTTTAATCTTGTTCAGTTGGGGATTCATTACGTGTCACTGGACTTGAATAGATGACTTTGCTTTAGTCTCCTGGCACCTGGATTTTTTCGCTGCTTTATTTGGATGGTTGTCTTTGTTTAGTTGGGTGGAGTTTGCCTCTGTGTTAGCCTGTACTATATTCATTACCTCTACTGCTATGACTCTTCCTGGTTTCTATTGTGTTCCTGTCTTGGGATGCTGGGGGGCGAGTTTCTCTTACGTGATATTATGATTGCACTCCTCTCGGTTCCCCTCTAATGCACGATAGAAGACTTAGTTTCACTTGTTTGGACTAGCCCTTTTATTTTTTCTGGTGGTCTCAATTGAAGCTTCTTATCTTGTGGTGCACTCTCTTAGTTGGTGGATCGGCTGCTCTAAGTCTTTCTAGTTCAGTGATTCTATTTCCTGCCTTTTTTTTCTATTCTTCGTATCATTTTTTCCCCGGCGTCATTATAGATTTGGAACTAGTAAGGACTCCTTATCTGACTGATCGGGGACGTTGCTTTTATGTTGTTATTCACTCCAGCTATTCTATTTAATCTTCTCGCGGATGTCTCAGCCGGTTAATACTTAGCATCTTGGGAGTCTCCACTGTTTGACGCCGTCTTAGCTTCAGCTATGGTCGAAACTCTCTACCCTGGGGGAGGGGCCCTTTGCTTCCGCTGCACTCTTTTCAGTAGTTTGTGGGGTAGATTGTCGGGATTAGACATAGAGGAGTTTAGCTCCTGGTTTTACGTCCATCATACTCATTTGGACCTTTGGTGAAGTTTGGGTAAACGGCTCTACTGAAGTTGACTGATTCCTGGGGTTTAGGTTATATCATTCTTTTCGCTGTTATCATGAGGCAGTGCCTCTAGTTGTACTCCATTCATTATTTCTCTAATGAGCGCCCCCTCCTAGCAGCTTCCTCCTTTGCAATAATTCATCCCTCTCTGATGTCCATTGTCATTTTCTGCTTTGTTCTTTGGGGATTATCCTATATTGCAACTTCGAAAATATGATCAACTCAGACTTCTTGTAGCCCGCATTTTCTGTCACTACTATTTCCTTGTTGGCTGTCTATCACCTCTTATGCTTCCTTGCTG